CCTGCTGAAGAAGCCTGGTAAATTAAGACATACCTAGAAAATACCATCTTTTCTCTGGACTTCAGTTCCTGAAAGCCATTGCTCAAATTGTAAATGAAAGGAGGCCTTTCCGCTTACGCTGGTCATTCCAGATGATTTATAAATGGACTGGGAGTGAAGCGCAAAAATCGTCACAGACGAGCAGATAATGTCCCATAAAAGAAGATTAAATGTTTTCTTAAAGTATGTAAACAGTTGTATAACTTTAGACGGCTCTGGATTAATTCATTTGACTCAGTGCCAGAGTAGGTGCTTAAGGGTGCAGTGACAGGCTTGGCAGTATGGGGCTACACCTTTTGATTAGGTGAGAGTTATTCCAAACTGGTGTGCCAATGGGACCAGGTGACCGGGCAGTGCAGTACCCTGGGTGTGACCCTGCCGTCAACCACTTACGCAAAGGAATTAGTGGGGATTCCAGATTAGTGGAGATTCCAGAAACTCGGTCCTTCTAAGGGACGATCTCCTAATGAGGAATGACAAGAGTGAGATCTTTCCTGGACCGCTTCCCACGTCTTTGCCAGTGCAGAATTTACATTGATTTTAGTTAGCATGTTTTCTCTTGAGCTATAAGTGGTTCTGACTATCTATGCTGTCTCATCAAATAGGGAGTTTGCAGGGCAGCTTAAACTGGTGGATGAGGTGCTCCTACTAATTCCTGATGATTTCTTTGACTGTATGAAATGTGGGCAGATTTGCTGTTAAGTGGGTGGCTGCTGTGAGCTATGAACTCAAATGAAGACAATAAGAAAACTCGGAAAGATGAGTCACACAAGTGACTGGCAACTATCTCAAAACATATTTTATTCTACATCATTTGCTGGGAGAAAAGACTCTGCACACATATTGCAAAAGTTTCAAAAAATTTAATAGAACTATTGGGATGATTATTCATATTTATGATCAGAGCTTGACAGATCTAGCCACAATTTATGTTGGCTTTGCTATGGACTGATTCTTTAAAATGATTAGTGAATCTTGAAATACAGCAAAAACCTTCCAGTTGCCACAGCCTCACAGGTCTGGAACTTTATACAAGCTGACAAACTAGCCCCGAAGTTCTGGGCAGGTGGCCGTAGCAATGACGTGGTCAGCTCTGAATAGAGGCTGGGATTTGGGAAAGAGCCATCGTTAGAAGTCTGGTTGTACCGGTGTGAATACTTGGAAGGCATTAACAGGAAGGGTCGGGACAGCTGGAAATGATAGCACAGGTAAATGCAAATTGTGTTATGAATTAAGTCTTTAGCCCCTTTGGCATTAGTGGAAAATGAAATTAGAAACTGGTCCTATCAATTCAGGGTAACATAAACACATTTGAAACAGAATGGGGGAAGGAAAGTAGGGAGAAAAACATCCAAAGTAGCATTATTGAGGAAATGAAGATATTTTTCAGTCAGGGAGGAAAGGAATGCTGTAGAGGAACAGAAGGTTTGAAAATGAGACTATGTGTGGAAGTATCTGGATAGACCTGTGATCTTCTTTAGAAAGGATCGCCTTTAGCTTTGCTCCTTAGGTGTGAAAGAGAACCTTCCTTGGCATAAGCCTGTTGTTTGCTCCAAAGCAAAGTTTGGACCAAAGCAAAATGCTGCTTTTAGTATGTTGTTAGGGAGTGAGCTTCACCAGTGACCTGTGTACAAAATCCTGTGCCTGGGCAGAGCAGAGGTGTGAAGAGCCATGCACGTTTCCGTGGGGTTTTATCAAATGAATGGGAGCTCCTTGCAGGAACAAAAACAGTCTGATTACTCATAGGTCTAATGGATCCATTATCTAAAAAAGTAGTTTTCTTTTCCCTCCCATGCAGTACAAAAGCTGTATTTGCTGTTGGGTAGCTACAATCATAGCAACCATGACAACGTGAAATCTGAGGAAGGGAGGAATCATAACCTTGATAGAGCTACTCTGGCATTACTGTAATAGGTGGATGCTGTGTGCGGTATACGCTCCGCATGTGCTTATGACAAGGAAGTGATTAACAGAATGCTTGGAAACCTGTTACGATTGCTTAACCTGTATAATTTCTTCAACCTATGTGCTCTTTTATGCTCAGAAGTGGTGAAACACGGAGTCAACTCAGATTTCATTGTTCTAAGTTAAATGAAAGTTGCAGGGACCTCTGTGGAGCTGGTGAGGTAGCCTAGTGGGGAAAAATCTTTTTTCCCTTTTTGTGTTGGGGTTTTTTTTTGGGTTTTTTTTTTTTTTTTTTATCCTGAATGAAAGCCTGAGTCTTTGCCTTCTTTATGACAGATAAGGGCTGTGTTACCTGATACCGTAAGTCAAGGTCTGTTTTTCAGATTGTTCCCCTGACAATGATGAACTGTCGTGACAGATGGGGATAGTTCAGCATATTTATTTCTTGGGCATAAGAAGTCTTCCCAGAGAGAGGGACCTCCTGGGCTAGGTGATTCTGGGAGACAGGGATTCTTGTTCCATTTGGACATGACCTGGTAAAGGTTTTTGCTTTATTTATGCATCCTCTTGTGTGTGGGTTGGTGTTTAAGTCTTTGGGTCTATTTCCATGCACCCATATCACAATGAGTAAATAGTACTGACTTCTGTAACAGATGTATTGCACATTTAACGTTTGCTAAGTGATTTAAATTCATTGCGTTGGAAATGTTGACTCTTTGTCTACACAAAAGAGGTTCCAGGCTTGTAAGTGACTCAAGCTGTGTCTATGTAATAGGAGATTTAGCATAAGTTGCAACCGTGGTGAGCTTTCTATTTTCATTTTTGCTTTTACATACCGTACTGCAGCTGTTCTGCTTCTAGACACTGTTAGTTCTGCACTTATAAGTTATGCCATTCTAAGGTTTGTTTCAAATACAAATCTGTTTTGATTTATTTTGGTTTTTAGGAAGTTTCCTAACTGCTCACCCATTGTTTACTTTCATTTGAGTGAGCTGAAGCATTTACACCAATGTCCAAGGGGCAATTTTGAACTTGTAGTGCAAATATAAAGGCATCTGTTCGTCTTCATATAGTAGCAAGCTCACCCACTCCATTGTGACAATGCCAGATGCTTCCGTGGATGTGTGTGATCATGTCAAGAACTTGTCCCTGTTTCTTCTGGGGAGTGAGCGAGTCACTATTTCTTCTGTCTCATTGTCTCCTTGTCTGTGGTCAGTATCCGTCAGAAGCTGGCACACTTCCTGAGATACGTGCCAGTGACACTGTAGTTTCAAGTTTCAATGTAGCAGCAGCATTACTGACCATGCCTCAGTCAAAATCAGAGCTGCTGATAATATGCTCAGTAGATGTGCTTTCTAATAAGACCTGGATCAGTTTTTTGTCATCAAGACCACCAGAACTTTTGCCAACAGCAACACTGAACAATTTCCTCATGACTTACAATAAGGGAGGGATTTCTCTCTGAACCAAGTGCAAGTGTAAGTACATAATCCATGTAAAAGAGAATTCCCCTGGAAGGTCAAGATCAGGGGTTCTTCAGGTCAGAATCGGGATAAAAGCTTTACTTTTACAAGTCAGGTATTCCTGAAATTAGGTTTACAGGGAGCCTGTCCACTGCAAAGAAAATCTGTCCACGTTGGAAGGCAAGGCTTGTGCTTGGTTAGCATTAACCTAGGGATGGAGAAACAGAAAAATCATTCTCGCAACACCAATGAGAGAAAGTAGAAATAACACTTTAAATTCTGCTGTAAACCCTTCTGACTTCCCAAGTGTAATGCTAAATCATGTTATTTCCCACACTGTTCATGTTTTTCATTATCAGTGGCTGTTTGGGGTCTGGTTGCATTATAATTTAACATAACATGATTAGAGAGATGTGACTTGGAGCTTCTCATAAACATGTCCAGAAAGCGTGGATGTCTGAATTAGGCTATATAGTTTTCTGTCTTGTTGAATGAGATAATAGGAACCAGATCACACTTGTTAAATTGATAAAACTTGTGCTTTTGCTGATGCAGTGTGCCCATTCACTGGTTTTGAGTTGATCAGCGAAAGTAAACCTGGTTGCACTTCTGTCAAGAAGGTCCTGGGCTTGTTTTTTACAGGATATTCTGAGGCACCTTATCTTGCTGTCTCTTTTTGAAACTAAATTCAGTATGAAAAACTTTTGGTTGGTCAGAGATACTGCAAAATGAGTATGTGTCCCTGTCTACTGGTGGGCAGCTCTGTTCCAGGTCTGAAGGGGGACTGGTGTAAGGGGAGGTCTCCCTTCATGGATATGTGTC